TGAATACATGTAAACTTTTTAGAAGTCTTTAAAAGTTTTAATTGAATACACCAGAATTCTAAAAGTCTTAAAAAGTCTCTAAAAGTTGCAATTGAATACAACCCCCTTAGTGAATTGCATAGAGTTAATTGTCAAACAAAGATAACAAAATCCAAAATTCTGCCTCTTTATCTTTTCTAGTCTTTGAATTCCCCCACACATCACAATTCAGCTTTGGAGACAAAAAAGCACCATTCTTCTCTCCTTAATATTTCATTCCCTTGTTTTGTTCCCTTTGCCCTTCTTAAATTATTCCTCCCCTCATCAGCAGATGCTGAAGAAGCCAATCATGGCTAAAAACCCTCAAGACTCGATTTCCTTCTCCAGAAGGTTTCTCAACCGGAAGAACAAACCCGCCGCCACCGGCCACTACCCTGACGGCGAAACAGAGCAAAAAAACCCCGAAAAAGGAAAAACTTTAAAATGGGGAGAGATCGTGAAGCCCCCGGCGCTGGAAAAGCAATCATCAAAGGCGAAAGCCCCAAGGAAGAAGATATTCGCTCCGGTTGCGGTGGGCAAGCTGCTGGGAAGGTTGAGGGAGCGGGCCCGAACCCAGTCCCCTTCTGGCCTGGTCGTGGGGACCCTGTTCGGGCTGCGGCGGGGGCACGTCCACTTGGCGATCCAAGAGGGGTTCAATCTGAGGCCGAGCTTCCTGGTGCAGCTGGCGACCCCGACGAGCGTGCTGGTGAAGGAGATGGCGTCCGGGCTGGTGAGGATCGCTCTGGAGTGCGAGCGGAGGCCTGAAAAGAAGGGGCCGAGGCTGGAGGAGGAGCCCGTGTGGAGGACCTACTGCAACGGGAAGAAGTTCGGGTTTGCGATGAGGAGGGAGTGGGGGCCCGAGGAGCGGAAGGTACTTGACGCGATCGGGCCTATATCGATGGGGGCCGGGGTGCTGCCGGGGGAGATAATGTATATGAGGGCAAAGTTCGAGAGGGTTGTGGGGTCAAGGGACAGTGAGGCTTTCTACATGATGAATCCAGACGGCAATGGAGGCCCTGAATTGAGCTTTTACTTGCTCCGACTTTAGTTACTTATTGTAGTTTGAAATTTTGTTTGTGTTAGTAGGAATGAAGGGTTGAGCTTTGATTGTAGAAGATGATATATTATAGCCTATAGGGAATGTATGCTTGGTGCCTGCTGGTATATCTTTTGTAATTTGTGAATACTTGTCATTTTGCTCTTGCTGCAGTTTGTTTGTCCCTTCAATGAGATTTTTTTTTTTTTTTTGGATTTAATGTGAGAAATAGTAAAATAGCTTCTTCCCAGATAGTTTTTATATTATCTAACTGACTTTTAAATGGGGCAAAACATAAGCAAATCATTGCATAAGATTAGTAAGATTCTAATTTATTTCATATATGTATCAAGTCTAGTAAATAATACCCTTTATTATACTAGAAATTATACCTTAATTGCATCCATCATGTACCTAAACAAAGCAAGACTGATATTTTACCCTCAAAAGATAGATGAATAGAATCAATCATTTGAACAAATGATTGCAGAGAGACTACTACTTCTGATACTCTAAAATCAACTGCATCTCATTGAGAGGTAGACGTGGCCAAGGGCCGACCCGGCCAGGAACCGGCCCGGATTAATGGGTCTTGGAACCAGACCCTTTGTAAAATCGGGCCTTACTTTTTCTTTTTTGACCAGCCAATTCTGAGTCGAAAGGTGGATCTCAGTTATTTTTTATTTATATTTTTTTCTTTTTATTAAAAAACCAGAATGTTCAAAGAATCGCCAGGTCGGGCCGGTTCATTTGAATCGGCCCTTAGATATGGCCGGGGGCCGGTTCTAGGCCCAACATTTAAGGCCCGCCGACCCGTCTACATTGAGGTAAGCATAATTGAGTGATTTTATATTGCTTAAAAATCAAGCTCAATCAATATATAATGATAATTTTCCATTAATTTTTGCTTAAATATAATAAACTAGTTGCTTAAATAAGGCATGTGATCGGGACGGCTGCAAAAACTTAAAACCATGATTAACTAAGCTAATGACTCAAGAAAAAGAACAAAGTAAACTAGAAAACAAAAGTAGCATAGCATTTTGCATATGATTAGGAATGAAATGATTAAGGCAGCGCAGTCTCAATCATATAAAAGGCTAATAAAAAGAATTACAACTTGATTTTTCAGAACATTATTATATGAGGTTTTCATAAATGATTTGTTCTCATTATCACCATATGTTCTTCCCCGTTTATTGTGGGTGCTTTCCAATTTATTTATTTTTTTAATATTTCTCTGCTGTTAATTTTCTTATACCACGAGTATCTATTTAGAACGTATAATTTTTCTACACAATTTAATTGAACTCGAATTAAATATTCAATTATAAAAAAACAAATCAAAACTGAGTTATACCCAATTTTATATTGCTGAAAAATTCTTGAGTACCAAAATAGGAATCATCCCATCAAGTCTTCTTCTTCTTCTTATATTCATTTAAAACATTAAAATAAGGTAGGGCCTTCAATTGAAGAAAATAAAATAAATAATGTGCCCAAAAAATAAAGATAAATAGAGGAAATAGATTAAAAAAAAAAAGTGACGAAAATCATCCTTGATAACCGGAAATAGTTTCATCTAAATGAAAAAAAGTCACTGTTTTTCTCTTGTTTGATGGGCTAATGAAGATGGATAATGCTATTCATAGGCAAAATTATAAAGAAGAATTGATACAGAAGTGGGGCTCTTGTGTTTTATTAAAGCACGCGGATCTTAAAGACAGGCTGAAAGAAGAGAAAGTCCCCATTTGTCGACTAATAAATTAAAAGCAAATGATTTATGTAATTATCAAATAAAATGATGCTTCACTGCTTCGTATACTGAAAAATACACATTTTGGGATATGTGCTCAACAAGAAATTTTTATATTTCCAGAAAATCTCAATTCTTTCTTATATATTAATTCAAAACGTGTTCAGCTTAAGTGACAATCTCACTTCATATGTTAAAAATCAATGTTTCGAAATATTGTTTGTATATTAAATTTTTGCTTTGGAATTAGACTTTGTATAAAGATAGATAAATAACTTTTTTTTAAAAAAAAAAATTTGATAAATGTATGTTTAATTTTGTAATATTTTTCTCTTAGTATAAATTTCCTTCTTAATATGGACAAATAGCAACTTTACCATCTTAGAATTTTGTTGCATCTTTCTCTTTTAAATCATGATTTACGAATCACCTTTCTTTTTTTATTAATCAGACCATCAAAATTTTTATTTAGCAATAACTTTTAAAATATATTTTTTCACTCAACACCATCCGTGTAATACACAAATGTTGTAGTAATTATTAATTTAACAGAATGTAGAACGGAAACAACTTGTTATATTCACACAAGTGGGTATCAAATCAATACTACTATTAATTTTGAAAAGAAATAAATCACGCAAATTTCACTAAAAATACAAATTTATATGTCACCCATATTGAATTTTGAGTGTGGAAAACAATTCATTTGTCACTTTTCAGTGTGTGAAAATTAACTTAAAGGTGTGTGCTGCTGTATTGTAAGTAATAAAACTGAAGGCAGAGAGTGTGAAGCAGGAATTTGTAGGGTACAGCCAAAGGCAAATATGTCCATGGGATTCCATTTTTTTTTTCTTTTTTACAGTCAAGTCTTAATCTCTTTTTTCTCACCAGTACATATATTAGTGGGAAATGCTACGATCCCGTTACGAAACCATTCCGTCGGGTTTGTAACCATTAGATCAACATGTAACCGTCAAAGATAGTTGATCTAATGGTTACAAATTCCGACGGAATAATTCCGTAACGGGACCTTAGCATCTCCCTATATTAATATAGTATTTTGTTTATTTTTTGTTGCTTTTTATTTAGTTTTTTCTTTTTTGAAAATCCTTTTGAAGCTTTTGAGGCATCAAAGTTTGAGAATTGCCGCTTTACACATCCGATATACCCTACCTTTGTTCTCATCTTTTATTCTTTTTTTATTTTTCTTTAATTTCATGGGTGCCCAAGAAGTCCAAGGACTGTATAACAAAATCTATAAAAGCTAATAAAGGTTTCAAATTACATCTCAGTCCTGCCCAATATAAAGATTTTAAAATATTTGAGATAGTCCAACAGTTACTCAGTTAGTCGAGTCAACTTGAATGATGACCATGAGATCGCGTTTGCCTTTCTGGAGAAACGAGATCGTCAACATCATTAGTGAAATTTATCACTATCCTATTTTATTTATTTGCTTTCCTATTTTTATTTTAAGTCATTTTAGGAATAAGTAATTTTATTTATTTAATCATTTTCTTGTTTGGAAAGGAGGCATTTAAGGATTCTAAGACTCTATATATTGATCTGTTTGTGATGGATAGCAGATCGACTGAAATTGAATAAAATTATCTGCTCTGTGAGTTCTTTGTTCTTTTGTTTAATCTTTCGCCGGTGCGGGCAAGAGGCCTGTCGGTGGCCAACTTCTCCACACGAAAAGCACCTCAGCCCGCCCCCTACTCGCGAACCAGCCGGTGCAGCCGACGCTCTAAACCCTCCAGCAGCCCCACTTGAACCTCCAGGCGCTGAAGAATCGCGCAGTCCCGTCGCGCTGCTGTGACATGTTTGTGGTCCAATCGCAACCGATGGACGGCCAGGCCCCGTTGCTGAAGGTGGTGGTCCTTCGCGTGGCGGTGGAAATCCCCGCGAAGATGAACGGCGGTGAAGTTGCTGCTCCACGAGTAGCACACGCTGATGTGCGGCTGAAACGGTGTCCGGCGAGAACAAGTTTAAAGTATCCCCGATGGCGACCCGCAACCCGCCAATGTAACGTGACACCAACTGGTCGTTTGTTTCTCGTATATCGACTCTTGTGAGGAGATTATAAAACTCCTCGGTATATTCATCGACCGACCGCGTTCCTTGCCGAAGATTTTGCAATTGTTTATACATAGTCCGGAAATAGTTGAAAGGCAAAAATTCTTGTTCGATGTATTTTCGAAATTTGGACCAAGCCGTTATTTTGGACATACCCATGCGACGGCATGATCCCTTGAGCTGTAGCCACCATGCCGCTACACGACCTCTTAATCGGGTCGCGACGAGCCCGACCCGCCGCTCGTCCGACACCTCCTTGAAATCCAAGACCGACTCGACCGCAGCTAGCCAATCAAGGAATTCTGCAGCATCGAGGCCACCCGTGATATCCGGAATAACAACGCGAAAGGAACACTCCGAACGCCGATCACCATGCGTCTCCTCCACCGTCGGTACTTGCTTCGCACGGAACGGATTGACATCCTCCTCTGTGGCGTTCGAATCGCTATTCTCCACCAGCGACGACAACCGTTGGCCACCACCCCCCACCTGGCCGTGACCCCCGCGGCCCCGAAACCCACCACGACCGCCGACTCGCCTCCCGAAACCGTCACGATTCGTCGGGTCACGATCCATCATTGGCTGGAGAGCCAAACGCAAGTTTGTCATGCCCGTCGTGACATCCTGTAAGTCACGCCCAATCGTCTGAAATTGTCTGCCACAACCCTCGGCCTAGATAGTCAAAGACTCGATGGCAGCATCGCGACGATCGTCAGCGGTATTTCTTTTTGGCGGAATCAGGAACGTACTGGACTCTGGATACCAGATGATATAGAGCAGCTTCGAACGAAAGAGACAAGGAGATAAAAATCTCAACAGATAAAATTCTTATTCAGCAAAAACCACCCGATTCTGTTACAAAAAAGAGAATATATAGAGTTGATGATTTCCTAAATTCCCTAACTTGCTAGACAAGCAAATAAAAATAAATATTCTCCTAATCAACAAAACAAGATAAATAAGAAATAATAATAATAATAATAATAATAATAATAATAATAATAATAATAATAATAATAATAATAATAATAATAATAATAATAATAATAATAATAATGCAACTTAGATAATCAAATTAACACCGGAAGTCGATCGTATTTTTTTTAAAAAAAAAAAACCATCGCGAGCTCGTCTCCATCTGATACATTTCTAACAAAAATAATACTTATGTTATTAAATA